ACTTTGCACCAAATTTGCCATCTTTTTTCCAAAAACTTGTTCTACATTGCGATCATCAACAATGACTATGAGATTACCGTTTTTGTCATATCGAAAAATATCTGGCTGTGATGTTGATTTTGGCATAGATCTGCATGGAAACTCAACTAAAACGTGAATGCATTTTCTGTTAACAACCACACTGCTGTTAATTTCATCAACTATCATAAGTTTCGCGATTTTTTTGTGAAGTTCCGCATACTTAGCAGTTTTGGATATATGGTAAGACTCGAAGCTTTTGTCATAATCCAAATCAAAGTTTTTGTCCTGATCAAGATGATCGCTTTCATCATCAATATTGGTTGCAGGTGGAGTTTCGACATGACTTTCTACCTGCAACGGTTCAGCAATGCTAATTTCAATGTATTTCTTCTTTGTCTTGATCTTCAGTAAATTCCTTTAATGATAGCCTCAGTTTCTTACTCTGAACTCCACATTCTGTATCATTATTGGACCTCTTTTTTCTCTTTTTTTCTTTCATGTACTGAAACTCCAAGCATACCTTGAGGGTTTGCTTCTTAACCTTACTCTTTATAACTGACTTGGTAGAAATAGTGGAATTTAAGGATAATAATACCACATTTCCAGATTCATCTATAAGTGATAGCAGAAGATCTAATCCTGCAACATGGCCTGGTTGAATAGCATGATAATGCTACTTGGGTGATTGGCTGTATATGTCTTTAACGTAATTATACAATGAGATAGAATTTGACATATTTGTGTTCGTGATGAACTGCATCTCAGGCGTAATCCATTCTGGAAAGACAAAATATGAGTTGTTGGTCTACTTTGCAAGTTCTTCAATTATGGTCATAGCAAAGCAGCATTGAGCTCGCTACTGATTGATTGAAGACACTTATGATGACATAAAATATTCTCAACATAAATATCTATCAAAGTTTTGCCTCTTTGCAATAAAAAATTTTCAATGCTGTTAACAACTTAAGTTGAAACTGGTTAATTTTTAACTGGTTAATTAACCGGTTAAGACGTTTATCTTGTAAACCGGTTAAAGATTTTTTTTAACTAATTAAAATAACTAATATTAACTCTGGCTGAAATTTAATTTTCGGGCAGAATTAAAATTTTTTTGCAATTACAAAATTTGCTAGTTTTGCTCAAATTTATAGTGTTGGCCTGAGTTAAATTTAACCAGTTAAAGAAATTTTTAACCGATTATTAACCGGTTAAGGATTTTTGGGCTGGTTTCAACCTCTAAAGTAAGACTCAATTCCAGATTGATTTGGACTGTAATTTCATAAGAATCATCTTGAGGGGTAAGGACAATGCTATCTGGTGACTTAGTAGGAAGAATTCCATATTGGAGAAGTCTAATAGCATGCTGG